GCTCGTAATTGTGACTTTCTATCTCGCAATTCTGACTTTATAGCTCGTAATTGTGACTTTCTATCTCACAATTCTGACTATAGCTCGCAATTCTGACTTTATATCACGCAATTGTGACTTTATATCTCATAATTGTGACTTTATAACTCGCAATTGTGACTTTATATCTCGCAATTGTGACTTTATATCTCGTAATTGTGACTTTCTATCTCACAATTGTGACTTTCTATCTCGCAATTGTGACTTTATAGCTCGTAATTGTGACTATAGCTCGCAATTGTGACTTTATATCTCGTAATTGTAATCGTAACAGCTGAATACATCACGTCATCCTGGAGAGAGAGGAAAAATGGGATGATTGCACACACAGCATCACATCAATGTTACATAATCAACAGTAACAGTAAGTTTGTTTTCACCTGATTGGCTTGTTCTCTCTTTAGCTCTTCTCATTAGTGGTCACCTTTTCAGCATTTTCTGCTTCCTAAAACATACAACATCACACCAAACAAGTTTTGATGATGATTTTAAGTATGTCGGTTTTATTTGGTTGTGAATTTGTACCTATGATTCTATGTGTTTTATTCTAGGAGTACAGCCCCATTCGCTGGTCATTTAAACAGAATTTAGTCGGTATAGTTATGAGAAGAATGATTATGTGTGTTCATGTACCTCTACGTCTCCAGCATGTAAATGCCAGTAATGCCAGTAAAAGCACTGAGAAAAACACTCCCAGCAGAATGAAAACAGCTGTGGAGAAACAGAAATGGCTTGACAAATGCTTTTTTCTTTTTTTTTAATGTAGTACAAATATGGATAAATATTTCTCAATATGAGCTCATAAAAGCTCCATGCATAATTTTAAAACAATTAAATACAAACACTTGAAAGATAATGAGAAAACAATATTGTAACCAAAGCCTGTGACTTACATTGAGGTGTGTGATGTTGTGGAATCAGTTTAAGTTGTGAAGTAGTGGAGTCTTGTGTTTGGTGTGAAGGTAGATCTGTTGTTAAATTGATTGGGTGGACACAAGTTTTTTCTGTTCAGAAGCCAATAAGTGTAAGTGATAATATAACACAAAAAAGCATGTTATCTACAAGTTGATATCATTCTTCTAAATATTTAGATTCTTCGTAAAAACAAAATGAATAGCAATGGGGATCTGACAACAGAAATGGAAGAAAACTACCTTCAACATGAAGTACACGAAGTCTGACAGCGACTACTTGCTGAGACGAGACAAAACACTGATAGTGCCCTTGGTCCTCTGTGGTCAGTGCTGATACGTGTAGAGAAAGATTTCCTGGAGTGTTTGGACTGAACAGTTTGACTCTGTTCTTGTAATTCTCAATTTGTTCATTTGGGTCAATTTCTTTATATTTATTTTCTTTGAAATATTTCCACTGTGTTCAGGTTTAGCCTGTAGTTCAGTGCAGGAACAGGGCAGAACCACAGACTCTCCTGAATATCCAGTCACTACAGCTGTCTTTCTGTTCTCAACCAAATCACACCCTGAAAACATGATATAAATTATGTTTATATTATATTTCAGTTTAAATGCAAGTAAAAAAAATCCTAAAATGATTTCAGCGTAACATTGCAACCAAAAAAGGCCTGCATTGTAGTAAGTGCAAGAGAAACTCAAAGGTCAGTGGAAGTGAAATTTAAAGATATTGCGTCCTGCTCCAAATTTCCACTTACCTTTAACATTTAAGTCAACATACGTAATAATATTTGGTTCGGTCATACATCTATAGTAGCCCTGGTCATTCGTTCTGAGGTCAGAAATGAAAAGAGACCGATTTGTTGGAGAAAGTTCATCAGACAGCACACGTCTGCCGCTGTATTTCTCATCTTGAACTACTTGAATCCATTGATTTCCCTGCTGAAAGTGCCAGGTGAATGTCGTGACTGTAGACTGAGGGTCAGCACAGGAGCAGGGCAGCACAACTGAACCACCTGTGTGTCCTGCTATTCCTATTGTCTGCTGAACATCTGAAACAATACAGCCTGCAAACAAAAGAGTTTATCCAGAGCATTCAAATGAGCTTTACTGGAATATATAATAACCAGGAAAAATAAAAGCTGAAAAGATCCCTTCAGGGGTCCAAGCATCATTTAAACCTTAATAGTATTTAATGAACAACACAATGTTACTCAAATCTCATCAGATTTGGGTTATTATTATTAGTAGTAGTAGTAGTAGTATTCACAAATACTTTTTTAATTTGTTTGCACTACTTCCCTGTTTCAAACAGAGAGCCACACGGTAACACTTTCCATGAAGCCTGCATAATACATTATAAGGGTATTCTTAAGGCATTATAATAAATGCATAATGTATTATATAAAAAAACGTATAATACGTAATATCATCTCATGATTCATCATAACAACAGTTTTAATGCATTATAATATTTACTTATTTGTGCTTTTAAGAGTATGATGATTTATAACACACAATGAACACAATGCATCCACTTAATTTACAATGGATTATATTTCTCATAGTTATAATGTATTATACGTCTCATTTCTTGCCATTGTTAACTTGTTACTTTACTTAAAGCAGACAAAGACCACTTATAAATAACAACAACAACAACAATAATAATAATAAATATAACAATATTTTTTCTTAAACAGCCATAAGATCAGATATTTGATCAGAGGATTGTGTTATATGGCACATTTGCATTTAACCATATTTAATGCAATATCAGTATGACAGTAAGATAATGTGACAGTCTTAAATAAATAATGCCAAGATATGAGACTTATAATCCATTATAAATTAAGTGGATTTAAAATGGTGTTCATTGCGTGTTATAAATAAGCATACTCATAAAAGTTATAACCACAAAGAAGTACGTTTTATAATGTATTATAATTGTTATGATTATTTATGAGATGAAACAACATATAATTTTTTTAAATTTTTATAATGCATTATGCATTCGTTATAATGCCTTAAGAATACCTTTATAATGTGTTATAAATATGGGCTTCATAGACCTTCTGATTAATCACAAAACATAACATAAAATGTAAATTTAATAGGTTGTGTTTCCCTTCAGATCAGAGATGCATTTCAGTTGGAATGTCTCTCAAATTGTCTAATAATTCAAAGCTATGCAGATGTGAACAATCTGTAGTTTGTAGAAAAATTATAATTTAGCTATCTATTCCTGCCATCAAGCTTCAATGAATTATTATTATTATTATTACTGTCTTAAAGCAGATCTATATTCATTGCTCACTGATCTCACAATGAGTCCCCTTAAATAACGCAAACTCTAAACTCACCTGTACCGAAGTGAAGCATAAAGAGAAAAATATATAAACAGTCCCTCATGGTTCGTTTTACTGAGTCTGTCAACAGTGTCTTAATTATTTGTTTCCTCTTAGCTGTTACTCCTTAGAAACTACAACTTCCTGTTTCTTTTCTTATTTAAACAGTGTTTGTATTGAATTCTATCACTGACTGATCATAATTACCATCAGTTTTCACTGCACCAAATTTCAATAGGTGTATTATTTTAGTGCCACTTGCACTATGAATGACATTTGAGATTTCTGACCAATAGTCTCACAAATTGTTTAGATTTTTGTATCACACTTTTTTAATTTTATGTAATGTAAGCATCATAACAAAGTATGTATATACATTATTATGGTAGTATACACTTGTTTTAATAGGCCAGGCTTAAGAAGCAGCACTTAGTATTATACAATATGTACTGTAACTGTCTCAACCATCTCTACCCGGTGTTTGGTCAGAAGGAGCTCTTTGAACCTTCATGTAACCTTTCCATACCACAAAAGGTTCTTTATAGAAAAAAAAGTTCTTTAGATTAATAAAATGTTCTTCACACTAAGAAAATAATGGTTCTTTTAAGAACTGTTCGCTGAAAGATTCTCTGGGGAACCCCAAGTGGTTCTTCAATACATTGTTGTGAAAACACGCTTTTGGAATCATTATTTTAAAGAGTACAACTCACAATGCTTTCTAACAGTGCTCTGCACAGGCTGCATTAGAGGAAAAGGATTAGATCTTCACTCAACTGATCCACAACTGAAAGGTTCTCTGGGGAACCCCAAGTGGTTCTTCAATACATTGTTGTGAAAACACGCTTTTGGAATCATTATTTTAAAGAGTACAACTCAATGCTTTCTAACAGTGCTCTGCACAGGCTGCATTAGAGGAAAAGGATTAGATCTTCACTCAACTGATCCACACCATTGAGAAAACACGCTCTGAGGTAGCAGAGCTGATCAGAGCTCAAGAAAAGATGGAATATAGTCGAGTTGTGCGACTTCATGAGCAGCTGGAGCAGGAGATTGCTGAGCTCCACAGGAGAGACACTGAAGCTTTTAAACAAGGATAATAATGTTTATTTCCTAAAGGTAATTGCTACTTTTTTGCCATATACTGTATATTACTCTTAACACCTTTACATTTAGCATTTTTAAATGTAAAAATTTATTTTAGTAGTCTGAAAATGTGTAAATCTATCAGTGTGTTTGGTATTTCACTCTACAGCATTTCCAGTCTCGATCTTCACCATCTCCATCTGTGAACTCGCCCATCGTATATGTTTAGTGTATTTATATTATAAATTTGTGTACTACTTGTTTATTGTAATTGTAATTTATAAAAGCTCTCCTAGGGAGAGTGTTTCAAATTAGCTTCGGCTACAAGCACTATGGTACATGCATGGGATGATTGTTTTTTACATTTTCATCTATGTTTATTGTATCTGTCCCTAACAAATAAAACATTAAATAAATCGTAACTGTCAGTCAGCACATTAAACCTGATCTTGTGAGGAAGTCTCTTTCTGATCTTAAAATGGAATTACAGAAATTTGGCAAGGAGGAGTACAAAATTATTTCAAATGGTGATAGAAAAAGATATTTGTTCATAAGTGTACATAAGTGAAACGTTCACATAGATTAGCAATAATAATGCACTATTTTATCTGTATGTTTACAGTTACAAATTTTCAGTTGAGATTTCCTTTTGAGCCGATAACCAGTGAGGATTTTCTACAGTGTAAGTTACACATAATGTACTGTACATAAACTCACATAATGTTGTAAAACTGTGGTTCATATATTAAAAAATGTCACTAATCTGTTCTCTTCAAAGATAATGTACACATTTGTGGCTTTGTGTCTGCTTTTATCTCCAGATGATCAGAAGTTTACACTGGACATCACCACTGCACACGATGAACTCCGAATTTCTGAAAACAACAGAAAAGCAACGTGCCGTGAGATATCGCTGTGCGAACTGTGAACAAGTAGGACTGACTATTGTGTAATTTATATAAATTTATGCACTTTATAATTTGGTTGAATACTTACAGAGAAATCAAACAGAATACCAGTGAAAGAGATACCTCTTGATTATATTCTGAATTACATAATTCTATGAATCACGTATAGGCTTATATTCTTAATTGAAGGGATTGTTGAAATATGATACACCATAAATTAAGACTTAATGATTTTACTTAACCTATATGAATAATGACATTTGAAATATCATTCTTGGAAATATTATGCAATACCTTAATGAATTCTAATAATTATTCAATTACATAATAAAAACACAAATACCAACATGCTGGCCTTTTGTGCTAATTCTAGAGGTGTTCTTCACCCACAGGTCTCATTTTAACCTCTCAATTTGAAATGCAAATCTAAAATCTGAATTACTGTAACCAACCACAAATTCTCCATTAACAAAATTAGACCTATATAAAAATGTATAATTAAATTATAAAAATGCATACATCACTGATATCCAAAATAAATTAAATAAATGTTAATTAGGTTTCCAAAAGGTTGTTTGTGCAGTGATGCTATAGAAGAACCTCAAAGAACCTTTCAGTGAACAGTTTTTAAAGAAGCATTTTTTTTCTTAGTGTAAAGAAAAATTTTGAAAATCTAAGGAAGCTTTTTCCACCATAAAGAGCCCTTTGTGCAGTGACAAAGTTCTATGAGAGTCAAAGGTTCTTCATAGAATCATAGATGCCAATAAATAACCTTTATTTTTAGAGTGATACGATGTCACAAATCTGTAAACAATGGTCCATACAACAATTGGCTTATTTTTGTGGTTGTAATTCCCTTTTGTGAGTGTAAGTGGGTGTGAATGTATCTGTGTGGGTGGGTGTATCTCATGGTTTCTCCTCTCAGTCTCCCTCTGCTCATTTTTTTCTCCACACTGACATCACTGGAGTTTCCCCTGGTCTTGCAATCTCTGTGCTTTAAAAAGAATGAAGAACCAGCTTTTCTGAGTACAACGCTGACAGACCAACCAAGCAAAACACTGAAGTGAGAAACTGCGCTGAGGAGACTTTACAAGACCATTTAAAAGTGTACTGACACGCTGCAGTTTCTTATAGTTGGACATAGTTTAACTAACAGACACAATGATTATGGATCTTGAGAGTCAGTTTCTTGACGAAGGAGTGCTGCCCTTACCAGAGGTGATGGTGTCGAGGAGGAAGGCCAGCTCCTCAAAGTCAGGCATCTGGTGGGTGGCTGTGGCCCTGTGTGCCGCAGCTGCTGTCTGCTTCACGCTCTACAAGGTGACTATCCTGACCCATAAACATCATGCATGTCATTCTTAATATGCCATTTCAGGCACATATTTGTGCACTTAATGTTATGTTTCTTGTTCATTCTAGTCTCAGAACAATCAGGAAGGTGGAAATGGTGAGTTCAGACCCTCAGTTTCATATCCCTTTTTTCCCCATTCACATCAGATAATGTGATTTTCTGTTAAACTAAATCATCTTATATGAGTTATTTTGTGTTTTTCCCCATCAGAGCAAAGGCTCACATTAAGAGATCATCTTTCAAAAGAAAATGTTCCTTCCAAGGTTGCCATCCATTTATCAGGTAAGCTTGATTCAAAATTGGTAAATGAGCGGTAAACAAACACTACACATCACCTCACCTCAGAATGCATTAAAAGTTTAAGCAGCTTTGCACTGCTGTAGGATATCGGTCTCGAACAGACCCAAATAAACTATGGATTCACCACTGAACTATTGAACAGACATTCCAGAAGAATCAAGGTTCCCCTCCTAACTGTTTGCAGTAGGGATGCACCGAATGTTCGGCAACCGAATAAGCGAAAAGACCAAATAAATTGTACCGAACAATGATATGACGCGATCAAATAGCAACCAGCGCAGAGTGAGAGGCATGCACTCTTTATTATGCAGCACACATGTCAGCAGTGTGGAAGCATTTAAATTGTCGGAGAAAGACGCAAAAATCATTACAAGCACCAGACAGCGAGAGACTGTTTAGGACTGCATCGCATGTCTTCAATGAGAAGAGGAAGGGGTGATTGTTGCTGGTTACTGTATGCCTTAAACAATTAGTAAATTCAATTCAATTCAAGTTTATTTGTATAGCGCTTTTCACGATACAAATCGTTGCAAAGCAACTTTACAGCAAATTAGGTTTCTACAATATTTAGTAGTAGCTTATCAGTGGTGACTGTCAGTTAATGTACATATTGCAGAAATGTATGGAAAAATCAATTAAAGACGTAATCAAACAGACGATGAACACTATTAACAGCAATGATTATATGATGCAATCAAACTTATAGCAAAATTTGGTAGTTCTGTATGTTGTTTCATGGTTGGCATCATCTGAGGTCCTCTGAGGGGTTGGCATCATCTCTTCTCAGGTGATTTGGATCCAGATTGAAGCTTGTGTAAATCCCGTGGCAAAAACAGAGAAACAAATAGAGACATAATTAGCATAGCTGCTGTTTCAACCAAGCAAAATTGATTTGTTGTTAGATCCTGCATTAAATTTATATTTTGACCTCACTATTCGGGGAACAGACACAATCTTTATAGATTGGACAGCGCAAGTACTTCTATCATTTAAACAGGTAGAACAAAAGTCATCATAGCAGTTATTTGAGAATTGGCTTACTAGTCATATGGTGCGTAGCGTCCTGGAGATGTTGTCCGACAGGAGTTCTGCTCCGACTCTGCTGGGGTGCAGGCCATCAGCGCGAAAAAGCCTAGGACGCTCCCAGAAAAGATTTCAAATATCAACAAAGAGCAGTTTCTGTTCTTTACACCATGACAATAACCATTCGTTTAAAGCAAAAAGTCTACTGAACCTTTCGTGTCCTCGTCGATACGTGGGATGTGCTGCGCACCGTCTCGATCAGGCTCCTGAAGTCCATCTTCAGTGTCTCTGTATGCCGCAGCTTGGTATCGTTAACCCCGGCACGACCGCTCCAGGGCTCTCGTCGCCCTTCAGGATCGCGGGTATCTGCGCAGAAACCCTAACCCTAACACGAGCACCAGGGAAACAGTGGGTGTGCACTTTACCTTCAGCTATC